TATTATATGTATCTCACACAACTTTTCTGGCTGATTTTCTGACTAAGATCTCAACCCCCCTTTTCTGTTAGTTTGAATTCCATTTCTAATGCATCAAATTCTTTTGATATAATATATTTAGACATAAAATGACTTAGACCGGTAATAATTTTGATTTAATGGACCGGGCGAAATGACCGAAATCTGCAGAACACCATAATATACAGATAAAAGTAACACTCTCAAATATTTTTTATGCAAAAATAATTAAATTTAAATATTTGAAAAAAATCCTTAAACGAGCAAAATTCAAATCACGACAAGGTCAAAAATATTATATGTATCTCACACAACTTTTCTGGCTGATTTTCTGACATGCCAAGAAATCTCGTCCGGTTTACGCACTGTGGAAGTCAATAAAAGTGTAATTGATGCAAATCACCCATATTCCCCAAACGCTAGCAAGACAATTTACGGCAGCAGATTTCGATTTTAGGGGGGGGGGGGGGGGATCATAGGTTTTCAGCTTTCTTAGTTAAAGAAAATAAACTTGATATATTCCACCATTTATTTCTATCAGTGATATTTTTACATTAAAATGAAAATATTAACATAGCCAATCAGGTTGCGTCACACGGGTAATTGTTTTGACTGTAAATTTCCATATAGAATAAAAAGTCTTTTAAAAAAAATTGGTGGTTGTTTACTTGAAAAAATATCTAGCAGGAGGTGTTAAACATTACCTGTTACACTAGCTGACACACTCTCACACACAAAACGGTACCTACACGGCATTTTCTGACTTTTTCTATCTGTAAACAGGGCTACCCTCAAACCCACGTGTTTTCAATGTGTCTATAAACATTCCGAGTGTACCGCAGGAAGTAGCCTCCTATTCCCGGGAAAAAAATAGTTCCTGTCGAAAACCTTTATCTGTTCAAAAAGTACATAAAATTTAATAGGCACAGGTACCAAAGTTGTAAAAATGGCTTGGAAGAGAATAGAAAAACGTCTCAAAAGAAAGGAAAATCAATTTTAAATGTATGGACCTACATTTGACTAAGTTCATTTTGATTGGTTAATTACCGGTGTGATACCTCTACCCATTTAGTACTCCTCTCCCCTCTGGTTTAACCAGGAAATGATGTCAACTTCCGGGAATCTGGTACCCCTTTTTCCCATAATTCGACGCGCGCTACTTCCAAAACTACCATGTTCATCGTACCCGACGTTAATTTATGCTCAGGAAAAAAAAACTATATGGAATTACGTAAAAAATTGAAAGACAGCTTATTTCTACTGACACATTAGTTTACTATAATTAATAATTTTGTTTTTCTTTAACTTACTTTTTTTCTTACAGTATTTGATAAATATGACCCCCCCCCCCCAAAAAAAAAAATAAAAGAAAAAAAAAGAAGGGGTACAAAGGCTTCCAAATAATTAGTTTTGTACCTATGTTTTAAACCCAGTAAAACTTAAGATCCCTCCCTCAAAACTGCTGACATTAATTGCCTCGCCAACATCTCTCTGGGGAGTTTCACAGATTAACGTTAATTCGGCTTTTATTGAGTTCGCTCTCCGGACAGACTGCTAAGGTTTTCTTGGCATGAGTGATACATCTGGTTCAGTAATAAATACACGAATTTGTTCTAAGTTTTTATGCACGAATGAATTCATTTATACCTATAAAATGTGCTTGAAAAGTTTGAATAGTTTGTGAGCACCTTGAAAAAGAGAACTCGTCAGAAATCAAAATCCGGGACCGTTGTGAGTCGGGAAGACTATATTTACCGCTTGCCCTTATTACGCCACAGGTGTTTGAACTTCTGTCGGGCTTGCATTTGATCATATCTCTGAGACGAATTCGATCGCCAATAGTAGTAAATCCAGAACTGCTCAATTGTTCATCGCTCTGACAAGCTTAAAATATTATCAACATCTATTCTCTCTTCTACAAATCTATCGATCACCTGCGGACCCATAATGTTGAAGTATCATCATATGATTACAAAGTAGTAGCATATAATGAAAAGTAGTAGCATATAATGACAAAGTAGTAGCATATAATGACAAAGTAGTAGCATATAATGAAAAGTAGTAGCATATAATGACAAAGTAGTGGCATTTAATGAAAAGTAGCAGCATATAATGAAAAGTAGTAGCATATAATGACAAAATACCATCATATAATGACAAAATACCATCGTATAATGACAAAGTACAAGCATATAATGATAAAGTACCATCATATAATGACAAAGTACAAGCATATAATGACAATTAAAGTACCATCATATAATGACAAAATACCATCATATAATGACAAAGTACCAGCATATAATGAAAATTTCCACATAAGGCAGTTACGGCGTTCCATAAATTTTTGTATCATTGAGTGTTTGACGTCACAAATACATGATAAGTATTGAGAAAATTATTCTTTTATTATGCATTTCATTTTGCAACTTGATATATTTAAAAGAAAATCACGAGTTTTCAGCTCTATTGGTCAGAGGTCAGAAGAGCTTATGAGATAGTAATGCGTTCTTCGTCCGTCTGTCTGTAAACAATTTTTCAAAATGCTAATCGTACTACAGTTTTGGTCTGATTTCAATATTACTTGCCACACAAGTAGACTATACTAAGATACATAATACTTTATATCATTTTTTGATTTTGATGAACGGTTTTGCCGTGGTTACTAAACATTGAAATTTCTGTGAAATACTTTTAAAATGCTACTCCTCCTACAGTTTTGGTTTGATTTCAATATATCTTAATTGGCACACAAGTAGTACGTAATTTTGTATATCGTTTTTTTTTTGTCCCCCGCTTGAAAAGTGGGGGATATTAATTTGGGTTTGTCCGTCCGTCCGTCCGTCCGTCCGTCTGTCCGTCCGTCCGTCCGTCTTTCTGTCTGTCTGTAACGCTTTCGTTTCCACACGATATCTCGAGAACCCTTTGAGCTTTTGCAATGAAATTTAGCATAGCAACTCCCTGTGGACTAAAGAAGACCCCTATTGATTTTGAGGTCAAAAGGTCAAAGGTCAAGGTCATAAATAAGCAAATTCTGTCTGTTAAAACACTTTCGTTTCCACACGATATCTCTAGAACCATTTGAGCTATTGCAATGAAATTTTACATAACAACTCTCTGTGGCCTAATAAAGACCCCTATTGATTTTGAGGTCAAAAGGTCAAAGTTCAAGGTCGTAAATCTATACATTCTGTCTGTGTGTAATACTATTATTTCCGGGCGATATTTCAAGAAGATTTTGAGCTTATGCAGTGTAATTTTATATCAAAACTCCCTAGGACGTCTCTCGCCCCTCTCAAAGTGCCCCGCCCCGTTTGTTTTATTAGTATTTATAGTTTTACATGTCGCTATTTTTAGCGCAGGGGCATGAAGGAGAGTTATTGCGTATAAAACAGGTTCTCGGCGGACTTTATGTTCTTATTACATCTATTAGAACTGTTTAATAAAGGCAAAATAAATCAAACACCATGGATTGTGTAAAATTTTGAGAATACCGAACATGAAAACATGAATATATACATGTATGTGACTTCACTTCTGCATATACTTCACGGTATGTACAGCGATTCCGTGGTCTAGTGGTTATGTCTCTCGCTTCAAGTGTGAAAGGTCCCGGGATCAAATCTCGGTCGAACCTTTGTGTCTTTTTTTTTTAAATACTTTTTTTTCTTTTTTTTTTTTTTACTAAATGATAGTATTCAGTATGTGAAATGAAAAATTTATGAGGTTATAAAATCATTATTACAGTGTGATAAAAATTCCATATAAAAATATCTTCTATACACATAATGAAGAATAAGCAATCAAATCTTTATATGCATATTGACATACATGTATTTTATTTGCTTCAGTATACATGTATACATTCAATAATTCTACAAATTCAGTCAGGGGGAGCCGACTTTTTCCTTAAGCGGGGGACACGAATTCTCTGAATTAGCTTGTTATTTTGATGAACGGTGTTGCCGTGGTTACTTAAAATAGAAATTTCTGTGAAATACTTTTAAAATGCTACTCCTCCTACATTTTTTGACTGATTTCAATATAACTTGGCACACGAGTATACTACACTAAGATACATGATTCTATTTATCGGTTTTTAATTTCGACAAACGGTGTTGCCGTGGTTACGAAAAATAGAAATTTCTTTAAAATACTTTAAAAATGCTACTCTTCCTACAGGTTTTGTCTGATTTCTGTTTAACTTGGCACATAAGTAAACTAAACTGAGATACATAATTCTGTATATCGGTTTACGATTTCGATGAACAGTGTTGCCGTGGTTACTAGAAATAGGAATTTCTGTGAAATACTTTCAAAATGCTACTCCAAATACAGTTTTAGTCTGATTATAATATAATTTGGCTTGCAAGGAGACTACACTGAGATACATAATTATCAGTTTTGTATTTTTGATTTTGATGAACGAAGTTAGCATGGTAACTAAAATTGAAAATTCTGTAAAATTTTATTAAAAGCTACTCTTACAGTTGTAGTCTTGTGCAATCTTGCCACAAAGAAAACTGAATCAAGGATCATTATTTCATTTATTGCTTTTGTAAAGTTTTATGTTCCAATTTATGAAATTATCCTAAGATACTCTAAATTCAATTCAGTTCATATCACTCTAGATCTTCCTCTCCCTTTTAGTGGTAGTTTGGAACCGCTTATGCATTTAAGCTTTTCAATACAAAGTGAAGTTTTGCTTTTTTCCCAGCCAATGCTCAGGTGACCGATGTGGCCCCTCGGACACTTAATTTAATTAACTTCAAATTTAAAACAGTAATTCATAGATGTTTTCAAATCTTTTCCGAAACGAATCAAGAATAGAAATAATTTTCTTAATCTTGCTTAATTAACACGTGTAATTAAGAATGAAGACCCATTTTGATAAATCAATACTCTAACATTTTAAACCTTTCCGTCTTTATGTCAAGTTCAAATATTACAGTTCAAAATTTAACAAAATATTGCAGACTCACCTGATGAACAAAATCTACTGCATTGCCTTGAATTTTTAAACTTTTCTTTGCATGCAGCACACGATACATCCTCTGGTGGTATAGGTGGTTGCGAAGCAGAACGTTTCTTAACTAAAAAACAAGTTCGACCAGAGACTTCATTTCTAATTTAGTTTTTTCTTTAACAAAATCTTTAACAATCAAAGGAAATGGACAAGATACCACCAAACCAATATTTATGAATTACTAAAGTTCGTCAGTGAAAAGAAATCTTCACAACCAGAAGGCACTTAAATTTCCGATGGTTTAAGACGAATTTCATCAAAGCAGAATACGATAACGGTGTGCTTTGCAGGGAAGGCAAGTTCTTTTGAAAACAACTAAGCAATCGATCCAAGTTGAATAATGCAAGCGCTCGGTCCTTGATCGGAAGTTATTGTTTTCGATTCAGGGCTGCTATTGACCTAAGACAATATAAAATGACTATCAACTGTTCCTTCGCCAAGCGTTCGGCATTGTGAAGAGAGGGTTACAGGTTCTTTTGATTAAGACCATAAAACAGAGGCCCCCTGTCTGGGAAGGCTTTGGTACGGTATAGAACCCTCAATGGTCCTGAGTACCAAGTGAAAGTCTAAATTCGAAGCCCTTCACCTGGTCACCTTGAAGTCTCTAAATGAGTGAAAAATTCTCTACGGGACATAAAACAACTTTCAAGCAATCATTCCCTATCGATTTTAACCTTTGTGTGAAGAAGTTCAACGTAGTAATCCGAAAAAAAAAAAATGAAATTGCAGTCAACAGCTGCATCTTTCATAAAAATGAAATTTAATTTTTTTATGTATTCTTTAAAAACCAAATTTATGAACGGACTGCTGGAATATTGACCATAAATGTATTTCTACATTAAGAAATTCATGTACTGAAGTTTTATTATCGAATGCAAAAGTATTTCTTAAAGTCTATGGTTATAAGAATTTCATGTAAACACCGGGTTGCTACATTATCACTAAATATTTTTGTATCGATGTAAACAGATTACACCCTAATGTTCGCTAACTCGCCAGAAGAGTTACAGAATTTGCATGGATATGAAGCCACGTACAATTTGAATTTTAACACCATAAATCCCAAAATTTAGTTTTCAGGAAAGGTGGACGCGTTAATTTTTCATGGACTTGTAATAATCAAATTTTGGATATTGTCCACTCTTTTAATTACTTATGATGATGTAAAAACAATAATTCAATGTTATGCAAAAGAAATAAGCTGAACAAGGTCAAAAAACTCTATTCGGTTAAACCGTAATATTCAGAAAAATTACCTTTGCTGATAGGCGCAATGCATGTAATTATATGATTAATAGAGAATTTGGGCGGTATCCAATTATACAAAGGAACTAAATATCATGAAAAATCTGGGATATGATGGAGAAAATGGGTCGGGAACGAGTATAAACTGGGAGCGTAATGTAAAACTTTTTAGATTTGGTCTGGGAGAATTGAGGGTGTGAACATTATGACTTTGACCCCAGGTTATTTGAGCAAATTCAAGGGCAATGAAATAACAATAATAACAATAGATGTTTGTAAAACACTAACCCCCCTTCCCTAAATGATTGGAATTTTTTTAAGTCCATGGGACAAAACTGTATCCAAAATGTTTCGATCATACCCAAAACAGAATTTAACCCAGATACTCTTATTATAAATCTGTATACCAAAGATCAAGAGCCACTTATGGGCTTTATTTGGCCCTGAGAATTTCTGAAAATTCAAAACGGTTCAGAACTTTTAGGTTGAAAACGCAGTATTTATCACTTAGACTATCTATAGAGCATGACGTAATTTTCCCTCTAGTCAATGCATTATGACGTCACAAAATGCGTCATTTTCCCCATATCAAGTAAATTAATTTAATCAAAGTACTCAGAAGTACAGACAGCCGGGCTCATTTACAGAGTAAAATGAATTTCTTACATGAATCATACGTTTATATTGTATTAACAGATAAATAACAAGAATATCAGATTAAAAATTCTGATGAAAAAATTATTTTAAAACTAGCAATATAAATTATAAGACACTGACAGTGAATTTTGGATCCAAATACCATGGTCAGATTTTGTCAGAATCAAAATTAATCTGGTACTACGGCTGTCTGGTTCCCTCTCGTTTTTCCTCGTTAGTGTAGAGAACTACGATAACACTGATTATCAGAAATCCTTACGCTAATAAACTAGGTTCTTTGACTTACGACTGAAGTTTTCAAAGTCATTACTACTAATGTTTATTTATTTAGATAAAACTTCGTTTTATTTATGTTGCTTTATTTAGCGTTTGTATTATCTCAGAAGCGGTTGAGAGTAAGAACAATATTTTTACACGTAACTTTGAAATGGCGACTATGGGGTTGACATCCTGTCTTGAACAGGATGACATAAGCCGGCAATTGCTCTTTGAGCAATAAGCCCGGCTAAAAATGGCCTAAAATTGAAGCAATTTTTCAATATTTACATAGAGCACAATCTCTTATTGAAAGATCTATTTCTGAAGATTAAAAAGCATTTTTTTAATTTTTGGATCGTGGGCTGTGCTCATATTTTAATTCTTTGCTAAAGGTAGTCAAATACGCATGTTTTCTGCAAAATCCAAGAATATTGCATTTTCTCAAAACCTGTGTTTTGCAATACTTAGATTCTCAAAAAGAAATTTTAATATATGAAATGAAAGCACGGAAGTCTCTACTTTATGTTGATATATGAAATGGTAAAAGGGTGATAGTTTATTAATTGATATAAGGACAGGGCCATTTTATGGATAAAGTGGCTCTAGCTTTTTCATTACAATATAAGCAACCTCTGCAAAGAAAATGAACGGAACTGTTAATAATTGGAAATTTTCAAGAGGCATAACGGTGTCCTAAATGACTCAATCCCATCCAGAACAGAACTAGATATTCTCATTATTAATCTGTACACTCAATTTCATTTCAATATGTGCAACTGCTGTGGTGGAAGTGAACGGTAACTGATGGTGGACCGACAGACAGCAGTAAAGCAATATGCCTTACCTTCTTTGAACGAGGGGGGGGGGGGGGCAAAAAAATATTGATATACAAAAGCTTTCTGATCATCCAATATACAGGCGAGAATCAATTAAGGAAATTATCTCCCAACGCAGTGGACACCTATTTATTATTTGAACCTTATAATAAAATACTTTACAATTCTGAGTTTACGGTCACCTTGGTGCCCCGTCCCCTTTTAACCATGTCCCCGTACGGTAGACGTCACAAAATCATGTTCTGTAAGCCCATCTGTAAAAGGCCACCTATGGGGAGCTTACAGTATTATAATATTAAAACCGCATGATTATGTACAATAAAACTCGTTTAGTACGAACACGGATATAGCGAAGCTAAGCTATCCTGGATCCCCAGCTATATAAATTTAACGAATTATACGGATATAGCGAAGTGAATTTCTAGGTCCCAGTGACTTCTTTATGACCGAGTTTTACTGCTATTTATACTTTGAATTATGAATTATACTGTTTTATCCTATATAGTATATATATCACATTTAGTATTGTATACTATAAACGAGTGGAACTGTGGGACTGAGGAACACTTGACCAGGGGTTCCCCCCTATTTACGCTAATTGAGAGTCAAAATTTTAGTTATATATACTGTGCTATTTTTTGTACACCAATTGGCTATATTCCCAAAAGTTAAATTATGAATAAACTACGGGGACGGGAGACAATGTCTATTTTCAACTTATTCCACTTGTTTGATAAATGTAAACAATCAAGAAATTGTTACCACTACAAAATCATAAAAAATGATTACTGACTGGGAAACAACAAGCACACATACATGTACAGGCATACTATTACGCTGCTGTCGACCGCGTAACGCAGTGGTGTAGAACGTTTGATTCAAGTCACAGAGTAAGGAGTAGATCCTTTCTTCGTGGATTCAAATCCCCTTGTGTAACTTGGAGACAGCTCCTTCGGTTGATACCGTATGTAAAATAGAAGCTTGTTTGAGAAAAAACCTTCAATATGTGCTCAAAGACCGTAAGTACCGAGTGTCAAAATTTTCACCTCTCCAGGAGAAGTGTTGGCGTCTTATCATGAGTGAAAAATCGAAGTCGACGTGACTTTAAAAATAGATATCAGTAGTAGATCTTTTTTAATTCTCTTTTTTACTTAAGTAAGGAAATGGTAATTCAAATAGTAATTTGAAATACACGACATTATAAAGGGTCAAATATTCATGAATTTATGAAGTAATTATCCTCAGACAAATGTATTTCCTTCGCCTTGAATTCAATATACACACTAAAATTGGACAGTGGACCAATAACATAAAGCTTTTAAAATATCTAAAAAAAAAGAACATCGATTTTTCCGGGGGTGGGGTTGGGGGTTGGTATTCTAATAAGTGAATGAATGAGTTGCATCTTAAGTATACTTCTTTTGAGAAGAATACATCTAATTACGTATATCTAAATAATTGTTAACTTAAGAAGATTGCAATGACTCGATCGTCTTCGGAGTCGAAATCACATTACCAACTAACTATATTAGCTCTTCTTCCAATTTGTACGAGTTACTGAATTTAAATACTCTTCGAATTTTATAGCCATCAGACCTTACTATGCTCTAAAATACAGCTTTAAATCAAATATAAAAAATTATATCTTAAAGCATTTTATCTCTGAAGCTTTTATCTTAATAAATGAAAATCTTACCTGGATGTAGATTAAGTAATTGTCCATAGAGAATAGATGGGTTGACTGTTAATATCTTCGAGATCAAAACTAAAGCCAAAATTACAAAAAATATCCTCATGTCAAGACCAGAAGTTTTATTTCTTTGATAAATAAAGTCAAGACAATTAAGTGCTTATTACGTCCAAATATATTCTCATTAAACATACTCATTTCTGAATTATGTTTCGAGTAATATTTTAACGTCAGCTTTCAGGGAGATTTTACGTGGGAGCATAAATGCAGAAAATAATTAATGCATGCTAAATTTAATTTTCCTAAACACTTTCGGAACTTTTTTATTTGAATTTAAATAAAGTATACGAAAGCTCCACCTTAATTTAGAGAAATTGATTGTCAAGAAGAAATGCTTAAAAATGCTGCAATTAACAAAAAACACAACTGTTTTCTTTTGTTCTAGTTTTTTTTTTCTGAATTAAAATCAAAAAAGCATCATCACTATGTATGTATTTAGTTTGTTTAATACCCAGGTTCAGAGATGATTTTAAAGAATTAATGCATTTTCAGTATACATGTATATTTTATATGACCCCGCCCTACATGTAACACCAGAACCCTTAAGTCAAGGGCCATGAAATTCAGTATTTTAGAGGAGACACCCTGGTATATCATATTTTTCATTAAGTTTGTTTGATACCCAGGAAAAAGAATAAGAAATGCACTTTAACTTCATAATTAGCTGCAATAAAGTAGCCCTCTCCGATATTTTTATCTGATATTTTCTGGAGAGGGCCACAATTCCAGAGCACCTACATAATGGTGCAAATATATATTTTTGCGACTGCAGGCAAAATAAACGGTTTTGACATTCAACTAACTTCTATAGAAAGGCGATATATTTACTCATTGTCATAAACATAGCCGTTAAACGCGAAAACCACATAAAGTAAATCGGCTTGTTTACCAGACTGGTCGCTCTCATCAGAACTCATGACAGTTCTCGCATGATGCACTGAGACACGCGCTTGAAATTACAATAACTTGGTGAAGTAGATTTTCAGGGTTACTAAATGATTGTGCCGATTGGCGTCACTTAACATTAATGAATAAAACTATTTCACGCGCCATTTTTTTCCCCAAAACAGCTACATGTATATTTATGCCTAAAATAAAGTAATTCCTACAGAGATCCGCTCCCTAGAAATCCTTTGTCTCATTAGCTGTCACAAAATAAAACCGACCAAGGTCAGTAAACATGGCGGATAAATTCAAGTTGTGATGTTCAGATACACGAAAAATAACCGATGGATGGATTGTTCTGTGTATGTTTGGATTGATTTATGTTTTCCATAACTACATTTTTAGAGTTCAGGTATGAAATGTTAATTAAATAGCCCTTTACTGATAATTTAAGCCAAAATCCCTGCGGGAGTGAATCACTCCCTCACTTGCACCATTACGGAGATTGTAAGTTGTAGCCCCCCCCCCCCCAAAGGAGAGAGCTACATTATTACAGCTACTATATATCTATATAACCCCGCCCTAGCACTAGAACCCCTGACCCTGAATGGGGCCATAAATTTCACAATATTGGTAGAGGACTCGATGCTTATAGCAATCATACCAACGTTTTGACTGCTTGATGTTCAGGAGTGAAGAAGATTTCAATAGGTGCTAATAGCAATACATTGTAGGTCACACTGTTGACGTAAAAACAACTGGAATTCTGTATAATTATTGAATTAAAGTTCTTTATTACAATTTTACTCTTAAGATATAAATTGAATGTGTGTCAAAAACGAATCCTTAAAAATATCGGTAGCTGGGTACGAAAGAGCCGGGGATGGCCCATGGGAACCCTGTAGGAGGTACTGGCGATGGAGCAAACCCACCACTGCAAAAATAGGAGCACTGAGGAAGGCTGACAAATCTACAGTAGGCACATATAGGATTGCCAAAGTCTTGGGTTACTGGACCTAAGAATTAAAGGAACAAAAACAGGTAAACAAATATACTTAACCAGTCACTGTACTTTAAATTAATCTTCAAAATATTTCATTTTATTAGAAAGTAGGAATTATTCAAAGGACAACAATTGCGACGGATTTTATTACATAATTATTTTCTTCTAATTGACACAGTAATTAGAGGGGAAATATAAAACAGAAGTTTCATTTTAATAATTAACCAGAAGTCTGTCGAGACTGTAGCTCTATCGGTTTGTACTTATAACAAAGGGAGTGAAAAGTAGCAGTGGGACTTGAAAGTTTTAGACAGGAATAAATAGAACAATGATCCTTGATTTAGTCTCCTTTTTGTGGCAAGATTGCAAGAGACTACAATCTTAGGAGAAGACTTTTAAAAGAATATTTATTTTTTAAATTCAATTTTAGTTACCATGGCAACATTATTCATCTAAAACAATAAAGACAATTATGTATCTTAGTATCTGCTTGCATTATTTCAAATTCATACCAAAACTTGAGGAGAATGAAAGTATTTGAAAACAATTTCTATTTTTAGGAACCATGGCAATAACATTCATTAAAATCTGAAATCGATATCAAGAATTATGTATCCTAGTGTAGATTACTTGTTTGTCAAGTTATATTCACCCCTGTTAACGCGCGATCGGCAACACCGATCAAAACATTGAAGAAGAAAGTATTGTAGGGGTAAATTTAAATAGTTTTGTATGTGCTGGAGTGTAACCAGGTGTAAATAAAATTAGAAATCATTTAATTTAGATAATTTTCTACAGTTTCTGTTCAAATGTTACCGATCAAATCGACAATGTTGAAAACATCAAATTTCCATGCTTTGAAATAGTTTATTGTTGTTATTATCTACCAACATTTGCTGCTTTTGTTATGTAATGTTTCTTGGAAGTATAATCAAAATATTTTTAGAATTAAAACTACATACGAGTATGTACATTATCCTCAAAACAAAATTAAGCTGGGAAATTTGACCACCGCGAGGCGATCGTCAACGACATGTATCGTTTTATGAAGCGATCGTACAACCTGGAAATAGCGATCGTACAACACACAAAATTAGCATAGCACAAATCTGAGATACTTCTTGCCAAAGAGTTTATTTTGATGTATGATATATATTTTACATTGAAATTAGGCAGCCAGTCACTGTTATATATCGTTTTTAACTCTTAGAATTGTCTTGCATTAATAAAGAGGCGCTATTGAAAAAAGAGTTTGATGGCTCACAAAAATGTAAAGTAGGAATTTAATCTCAATGTCATAACAGTTTGAAAAAAGAGTTTGATGGCTCACAAAAATGTAAAGTAGGAATTTAATCTCAATGTCATAACAGTTTCAGCCCCCCCCCCCCCCAAATATTTTTTTTCTCAGATACCTGTTTGACAAGCGAAATATAAATAAGGAACATTCTCCAAACTCATAAATCAATTTCGGAAATGTGTTTGTGTGGGGTGGAGTGTGGGGGTCACCCGGTGTTTAAACAACCAAATATCCATAAATAACCAGCTGCAAATTACCCCGATTTGATTATACTGCAAAAAAGAGCGCAACCAGCCTATTCTTGAAGTAAAAAGTTTAACCCCCCCCCCCCCACCCCCACCCCGATTCTACACTGTGAGTGCGTGATTTTAGTTAAATTAATATATTGATATCCCAATGAGTTGTCTACTCTAGGGCCAGAAAGAATTGAATAAAGTTTATCAAAGTAACCTATTATGAGTTGGCATGCTTTTCAACTTTCGCGATATTGTCGATCAATTAAAAAAAAATATACAATAATTATAACAATTTTCAGTAAAAAAAAAATATACAAGTATACTGTAGATAATGTTGTTATAATAACACGTGCATATATAACACATTTTTTATTTACTGAAAATTTCGGTAAAATTGCTAGGTATGCCAATTCCTTTGATCATTATATTTATAGTATTAATACGTTTTTTTTCATTTTCTGAAAATTTCAGTCTTTGATATAATATATGCCGACTCCTGTAACTGAACTGCCATTCCATAGACAATAAAACTTTTTTCCTATAATACAAAAATTAGGCCCTTGTAACACTCTGTCGGTATCTTTTTTTTAATAATCAAGTGTCAATTGCATTCATCAAATAGTAACAAGCTTACAGGTTCCATGAAGTTTTCAATTCTCTTAAGATTTGGACATTATTCAACTAATAGTAAGACTAGAGCGTCATTCAAATTCGCTCTTTCCCTCTCGAAAATCAAATGATCCGTGTTCCTTTCTATTTTAACTAACTTTCTGCCCATACCACATGGTTATCTATTACTATATTTCATTAAAAGTATTTTAAAAATTTCATGTTGCACGATCGCATCTTTCTCACTTTCTTCGTTGTACGATCGCGTATAGAGTCGTTGCCGATTGCCGAAACGTTTGTCATGTGTTCACTTCAAACCGATATTTTGACGCTTTCTGTTTGATGAAGAACTCCAAATCGGAAAACATTTACGATATACCCATTTAGAATTGCAATTGTGCGTTTTGGACTGTCGGGTATACGTAGTAAGGTAAGAAATACCACTTAAACGAGCTTCGTGTGTAACGTTAGGGCAATTATGTTCAAGGAAAACTTAACCTTACAAAAGATAAGGTGATTTTTAATGAGTTTAAAGGACTTTCATGGTCTTAAACATGTCTGGTTGCACCTCAAAAGTCAGAAATGTTGAAGGAAAATCGCGAATAAATATGACAAAAAACTGCTTTATTTAACCCAATCTTCCTCTTGTAGTTGAATTTAACGATCGGTGTTGCCGATCGCGCGTTGACAGGGGTGATATTGAGACCACACTAAAACTATAGGAGGAGTAGCATTTTGAAAGCATTTCATAGAAATTTTTATTATCTAATCAAGTGAATTTTGTTGTTTTATTAGAGATTTAATATTTTCATGTATTCTGTATGTGTTTTCAGTTTTCCTTATCTTTTCAAACCGATCTATTGACCGGTCAATAGACAGTGCGTTCTATTGACCTGTCAATAGACTGCGCGTTCTATTGACCGGTAACGTATTTCGAAACCAGAAGTCTCTGTCGAGACTGTAGCTCTACTGGTTTGTACTGATCAAAAACCGATGCACAGAATTATGTATCTAAGTGTAGTCTACTTGTGTGATAAGTTATATTGAAATCAGATCAAAAC